CAGGTTGTTTCGGGGGCGTGTGTTGCAAGCGCGCCTTGCGCGCAAAAGCCTAAGGGAGTTGTAGTCCGCATCCCATTCTCTGCGCAGCGAGCGGCTCCTTTTCTAGCGGCTATAGGAAAGCCCCGCGGCCTGATATTGAGGACAATCACCGGAGGCAAAGGGCCCATGCATCAAACTGGGTTTGACCGCTCAGCGTAGATCCCACACAAGTTAAAATTCGGGGCAGTTGGACCTGACAGCTTGCTAGCTCCGCCTCTGCCTCAGTTTCTTCCCCGACAGCTGGCGTGCTGTCGAGTGAGTCAGGGCAAAAGCCAGGGCGGAGGCAGATGGTAGTTATAGCATAATTAGAGCTGTTATTGTGACGATGATTATGCCAGCCTTGCACCACAGTCACTGCTTTATTACTTGGCTGGCACAGTCCGGGGGCTGGTTTTAACAGCCCCGGGCACCGCGGCGGCCAGACACGTGTCCAGAACCCATAAACCAGCGAGCTGCTCTAAAGGTTTGAGGGTGCCCACAGTAAGTGTCTCTCCTCCCCTTTTGTTTTGATGTTGAACCAATCCAGGAAAACTGAATTTGGTTTAAAACTGGTTTGGAGGAGGGGCCTGGCTCCTTTTTGGGGCGGAGCTGTGGTTCCAGGCACGTCAACCGCCCGGAGGCGGGGGAAGTGGCCCGGAATAGAAACTTATCCAAGAGCCCCGGGCAATTGTTGACTTGCCTTTCTAGCCAAGTCGCCTCTCCTCCTGCCCTTTAGAATTCTGGAAGCGACGTAAACCAGTGTATAAGGCACCAGAGGGTGTAGAGTGAAGAAACAGAATCGCATGGCCAAGAGTCAGGACGCCAGGGTTCAAATCCCAGCCCCGTGGCTATCTCATGACTCACCGTGTCCACTCCCCTCTCTGCACAAACAACCAGGTGCTTCATACATTGTCAAGAAATTACACAGCTTTTGTCCCCAGCATTTAAAAGTTTTCCTCAGTAAACTAGGAGCAGCAATAGTGTCTTACCTCTGGTACTCCCTGCAGGAATTCAGACCTGGTTGAGTCGGTGTCTTCTTTATAGGTCCACATGGAAGGAGATGGCTCTATTGAGCATGTAGTTTCTGTCCACATTAGGTAATTCCACACCAGCTAGACCACAAGAACCAAAATTTGAGAAAAGCCCTTGCAGCTCTAGCCAAGTACGTGGGTCTTCGGTAAAGGAAAGCAGGTCTCTGGCATGCTGTCCTGTATGGTTGAGGACAGCCTTAGCTGGAGCCCGGGACTGCCAGGAAAACTGTTTTTAGAGACTGATACTAGAGAACTCAGAGACCTCAAAGGATGGGAATTGAAAGGTAGAGATACCCTACACCCACACCCACACATTATCACTACTAGCAGCCCTGGGCCCTGTCAATAGCCAGATCCTGCTGCCCTCAACAGATAACATTTGTTGTCTTCTTTTTTTTTTTAATATTCGTTGATCTTCCATCAGTCAGTCCACTTTAACACAGTCTCATCCCACCCATTCCAATCCCCCTTAGTGGAGACCTTCTTTTAGGAGATGATGGGGGAATAGCCCATTCTTGAACAACTTGGCCTACCCACACTCAGAAGTGAAGGTTGACAGAGGAGCTGGTCAACAGGATGTCTGCCCGGAGGAGATCAGGGTCCTGAGGAATGCAGGTGATATAAGAGATTGGTTTCCTGGACAGGTTGCCTATAAGGTGCCTCTGAGGTGGTTGGCTATTGGATGTGTGTATATATATATATATATATATATATATATACATGTTGTGGTTATATACACATCACATGCAAAATTTTTTCCTGGCTGGTAATGAGTCATTTGCTTTTATATGTAGTCCCTTTGTATGCATATGCATTTTGTAAATGGCACCTTTGTATGCTCTTGACTTACAGCAATCCTTTTTCTCTGCTTTCTTGGTTTCCTGGCATCTTAAGTCAACCTCTTATAAATTATTACCCAATATAGCTTTGAGGAGATCTTTAAAGTTTTTACACTTGGGCCTGGAGAGATGGCTCAGTGGTTAAGAGCTCTTGTTGCTTTCCCAGAGGCCCAGAGTTCAGTTCCCAGCACCAGTGTTAGGTGACTTAGCACTACCTTTAACTCCAGCTCCTAGGGACCTGGCACCCTGTTTTGCCCTCCAAGAACACAACACTTATGTCCACAGTCCCAATTACAGACATACACATAGTTAAAAATTATATATATTAAACATTTACATTTATTCCATGAGCATGTGTGTACACTATGCTACACATTTGGAGATCAGAGGGCAACCTGCAGGAATCTCTCCTGCCCTATTAAATGGTTTCTGGGACTTGAAATCAGGTCACCAGACTTGGCAGCAAGTGCCTTTACCTACTAAGCCATCTTACTGGCTCTGATTTTGTCCTGGAACTAGCTCTTGTAGACCAGGCTGGTCTTGAACTCAGAGAGATCCGCCTGCCTCTGCCTCCCGAGTGCTGGGATTAAAGGCTTGCACCACCACCGCCCGGCTGTTTTTTATTTATATTAACAATTGAACCTGGAACTTCAGTACTAGTTATGCACAGACTCTTCCATTGTGCAGTTCTGCTAACTCCTGCAGTGATTTGCAGGCTTTTGTGTGTGTGTGTGTGTGTGTGTGTGTGTGTGTGTGTGTGTGTGTGTGTGTGTGTGTGTGTTCTGAGACCGGATCTCTCTGTGTAGTCCTGAATGTCCTGGAACTCTGTAGACTAGAGATCTGCCAGTATCTGCCTCCTGAGGAGTAAAGTCATGTTCTGCCACCACCACCGTGCTGATTTTTCAGATGTATTTTACTTACTTTAATCCACTTGAACATACCTTTTTTGGCTGGGCATTGGTGGCGCACGCCTTTAATCCCAGCACTCGGGAGGCAGAGGCAGGCGGATCTCTGTGAGTTCAAGGCCAGCCTGGTCTACAGAGCGAGTTCCAGGACAGCCTCCAAAGCCACAGAGAAACCCTGTCTCGAAAAAAAAAAAAAAAAAAAAACATACCTTTTTTGTTGTGTGTGGTAGAAAACTAATTTTATTTTTAGTGGACCTCTCCCATTCCTGTTTCTCAAGCATTCTTCTGTACACCTATATCCCAAGCCCCATTTTTTACTTTTTATTTTGAGACAGAGTCTTGCTAGGTTATCCAGGCTGGCCTTGAACCTGCCTCAGCCATCCAACTAGCTGGGATTTTAGGCCTTCACCACCAGACCTGGGTTTGTCTTATGTTATTTACTTGAAAAAGCTTCCACATGTACACCAATGTGTTCTGAGTTCCTAAATTTTAATTTCTTTTATTCTAGTATCAATTTCCCATGCAGTGCTTGGATCAAGATTCTCATGCATGCCAGACAAACATTCTACCACTGAGCTACAACTCCAGCTCAACACCACACTATTTTGTTTCCTTTGGGTTTTAGAGATTGGGTTTCTGAGTAGTCCTGGTTGTCCTAGAACTCACTATGTAGACCAGACTGGCCTCCAACTCAGAGATCTGCCTGTCTCTGCCTGCCAAGTGCTGGGATTAAAGATGTGTGCCACCACTGCTATCTACTCAATGTCAAATATTAGGATATATGGATGTGGTGGCACACCCCTTTATTCTCAGCACTTGGGAGGCAGAGGAAGACAAATCTCTGTGAGTTCCAGACCAGCAATAGCTATAGAGTAGACTTTGTTTCAAACAAACAAAACTTCCCTAGTTCTAGCTTCTTTCACCAAGCACCAGGTCACTGTAGTCAACCATCTTTAATTTATAAACCTGCCTCATCCTCCCTGTAACTCAATCTCTACACTGTAGTAAGGCTAAAGGTTATTTTTACAAAATGCAACTTAAAGTGATTCCATGTGTGTGTGTGTGTGTGTGTGTGTGTGTGTGAGTGTGTATTTGTGTAGGTAAGAGGACAGCTTGTGTAAGTGCCTTTACCATCTCCACCATCTTCTTGCAGGCCCCATAACAGGTACTTCCCCGACGAGTTTGTGTGTGAGCCTGCTGAGGAGAGGTGTGGAGGGAGGCTGATCTTTCTCTTCACTTTGTGGGGCCTGTTTGAATTCAGGTCATCAAGCTTAGTCCCAGGGTTCCTCATTGCCCTAATTGAAAAAGGTTGCCCATCAACCTACTGGAAAAATCATATTCAGACTTCAACATCACTGGTGAAGTCCTGTCATGATCTGGCCACTGTTTATTTACAACCTTAAAACCTTAACTCTTAGGCTAGGAGTGGTGGCACATGCCTTTAATCCCAGCATTCGGAGGCAGAATCAGGTGGATCTCCAAGCCTGGTCTGCATAGTGAGTTCCAGCACAGAGAAACCCTGTCTCCGAAAACCAACCCCCGCCCCTGTCTCTGTCCCCCACAAACCTTAATTCTTGTTTTTTGTTGTTTTTGAAACAGTTTCCCTGTTAGCCTTGCCTGTCCTGGAAATTGCTCTGTAGACCAGACTGCCCCCAGCTCATCACAGAAATCCACCTGCCTCTGCCTCCCGAGTGCTGGCATTAAAGGCGTGTGCCACCACCACCAGGCAAAACTTTAACTCTTTATAATATGAATTTCTTTTAGTCCTTAACAGAGAACATGGTCTCTCAAGATCTCAAACATTAGGATCATCCTTTTACCTGGCTAATTTTACCTATAGGTCACAGGGCACACATTCCGGGGACCATCCTTTCCCTGCCCCAACCCGGGGTAGGGCCCCGGGTGCCCCTGTTCTTCCCAGACCTCACACAAACCCATCATCCCTCATTAGAGCGGGAGATTGACATGACAGCGGCTGAGTCTCCAGCACCTAGGACAGGGCCCGAAGCAGGAGCGCAGTGAGGGGCGCAGTGAACTGTCGTGAAAGGACGTGCCTTTAGGAAGGCAGCCCCCGGGGTCGCAAGGGTCGCCTAAGTGGGAAGGGCCACACGTTCCCTTCCCAGGGTGTGGTTCAACTCAGCCAGCTCCAGCCTCCACCACCCAGAGGCCGCTCTGAATCCCTTCCGGCTGGCAGGGAGCAGGAAGTGGAGCTTAAGCTTCCCATGATGCTCCGCGCGGCGTCAACTTTAACCGCAGGGCGACTGAGCAGTAGCTATGGCTGCGCCCAGGCCGGAGGTTCTGTCTGAGCAGTCTCCCGCGGCCGCCCCCGGTAAGGCATGGGACCCAGAGCCTGGGGGCCTGTTTCTTCCCTGCTGCCACCTCCCCGGAGGCGCTTAGCGACTTGGCTTCCTCCGCCGTTCCTCCCTGTCTCCTGGGTCCCCGGTGTCCCGGCCCGAGCTGGCTCTGTGGGCCACTTCCTCGCTTTGTGTGGAGTTGCTTCTCCTATCGTGCCCTTTTGGGTGTGCTGGCCCCCACTCCACACTCCATGGCGAGGCCTTAGTCTCTGTCTCCGAGAGCCCCCTCCGTCCCGATGTCATGAAAGTCGCCCCCGGCCAGCGTCAGTCTCCTGTCACCGTCCCGCGTTACAGGGTGTGTCTGCTGATGGAACCCTGGGGACGAGGAGGCTGACGCCGATCTTGACTCCCCCCTCCCTTTACCTTTTATTCATGGCCTAGATTTGGATTGGTGTGAGAAGTCGGAAGAAACTCACGCTCCCCAGGTAGACCCCGAGACGGCCATCACGTCACCCCAGGAACCTTCCAATGCTTCGGAGCCCTTCTGCCCGAGAGACTTGGTGCCGGTGGTTTTCCCTGGGCCTGTGAGCCAGGAAGGCTGCTGCCAGTTTACTTGTGAACTTCTAAAGCATATCATGTACCAACGCCAACAGCTCCCTCTGCCCTACGAACAGCTTAAGGACTTCTACCGAAAATCTTCTCCCCAGGTACGCACAGGCTTTGGAAGAAGATTGGTGGGAAGACTTAGTGGCCTTTAGATGGTGGACCAGTAGTAAAGTGAGTTAAGAAATCCTCAGCTTCCGTGGAAACCTAGGCCTTTGCAAAGGCTTCCGTTCCTTGTTTCACCCCACTTGGGTCTTGGTGGTGTCTCTCCTCCTCTCTCGCTCTCTGTCAGAGACTCTTCCTATTCATACAGGACATCATGAGTCTGTTTGTTTTTTTTTTTTTTTGAAACAGGATTTCACTTTGTAGTTCAGGCCAGAGATCCGCCTGCCTCTCAGCTTCCCCGGTGACTGTTGGGGTACAGGGGTGCACCACCTCACCTGGCCTTTCCTTATGGTCTCTCCTTTCTCCTCCCTTCCCTTCCCCTCCTCTCCCCCTTCACTCTTGGGACTCCAAGGCCTCGCACACCTGAACTGGCTGTTTACATCTGAGTGAGTTTTCACCACATTTTCACCTCTCTCTAGTTTTGTTTTAATGACCTTTCTTTGGAGATTTTTGTTTGTTTGTTTTTCCAGACAGGGTATCTCTGTGGCTTTGGAGCCTGTCCTGGGACTAGCTCTTGTAGACCAGGCTGGCCTCGAACTCACAGAGATCCACCTGCCTTTGCCTCCCGAGTGCTGGGATTAAAGGCATGCGTCACCAACGCCTGGCTTTGCAGTGTCTTTTTTTCCCAGAATTCCTTTTCTTTCTTTTGACTTTTCGTATTTACTGTTTTATGTTGGAACTTTTTATTCTGCCTGGTAAATATTTCAGGATAGATCCTGGGCCTTGTGAGCTGATGAGTGTTAGAGAACCTGGTGATCTCTTTGGAAAACTCATCAAACGTAGGAGGGCCAGGTATGGAGCCCTAATCCCAGCACACAGGACAGTGAGTGCGTCTTTGAGTCCAGGCCAGCCTGCTCTTGATAAGCAGTTCCAGGCTGCTGGCATATATCGTGAGACCCTGTCTTTTTTTTTTTTTAATAATTTAACTTTTATTTTATGTGCATTGGTATGAAAGTGTCAGGTCCCCTGGAACTGGAGTTACAAGACATTTGTGAGCTGCCATATGGGTGCTAGGAATTGAACCTGGAACCTCTGGAAGAGCAGCCAGTGCTCTAAAGTGCAAAACCATCTCTCCATCCCCATGAGACCCTATCTTAAGAAATGATTCAAAAATCAGCACCATCCGTCCCTCATGCTTTCTGCCCTGCCTATACTCTCTAGTGTCTGCAATTTGGGCTTACTTCCTGGGGGTGTCTCCCTTACTAGCAGTTGATAATCAGCTGTCTTAACCCCCACACACCCCCCACAGGGTTTCTCTGTGGCTTTGGAGGCTGTCCTGGAACCAGCTCTTGTAGACCAGGCTGGCCTCAAACTCATAGAGATCCGCCTGCCTCTGCCTCCCGAGTGCTGGGATTAAAGGCGTGCGCCACCAACGCCCGGCCTACCATTCTTTGTCTTTACAGGCAGAGGACTCTGTAAGGAAGAAACCTAGGCTCACCACTGAGGTGAGCAGCAGGAAGTGTCAGCAGACCCTGGCAGAACTGGAGAGTGTCCTCAGTCACCTGGAGGACTTCTTTACCCGGACACTGGTCCCTCGGGTGTTGATCCTCCTTGGAGGCAATGCCCTCAGCCCCAAGGAGTTCTATGAACTTGACTTGTCCAGGCTGGCTCCCTTCAGTGTGGACCAGAGTCTGAACACAGCGGCTTGTTTGCGTCGTCTCTTCCGGGCCATCTTCATGGCGGATGCCTTTAGTGAGCTGCAGGCGCCTCCACTCATGGGCACCATTGTCATGGTGCAGGGGCACCGTGACTGTGGAGAAGATTGGTTTCGACCCAAGCTCAACTACCGAGTGCCCAGCCGGGGCCACAAACTCACGGTGACGCTGTCCTGTGGCAGACCTTCCATCCCAGCCGTGGCTTCAGAGGATTACATTTGGTTCCAGGCACCAGTGACACTTAAAGGTTTCCATGAGTGACTGAATGAGGACAATGGCTGCATTGTCCCGGGGTAGCAAGGTGCCCATCTCATGTTTGGAACTGAAGCTGCTTCCTGGTGAGGGAGGAAGTCTCTGTCCGGGTATGCCTCCTCTCCCAGACTGCCTGGTGACTGGTATGTGGCTGTGGCTGTGATAATCAACCAGGCAAAGTCCCAGAATCAACGAATGACTCCCAGAGGCCTCTGGGCCTGGTAGTTCTGGTCAGACTAGAGAGCATGGAGGGGGACCTTCTCTGCTTTATTCTGTGACTTCAGAGCTGTTTGACACCAGGGTCATAGCTTGGGTGTGAATTTAAATATGAAATGAATAGTTGTATTAAATTTTCCTAACATTTTGACTTAGACTTTTTGACCTTAAGGCTCAAGGGTTTTTGTTGTTTTGCCTTTTGTTTTTGAGAAAGTCTTGGCTTTAAATGCGCTGTGTGTAGGAGAGGATAACCTTGACCATCTAATTCTCCTTCCTCTCCTTCCCAGATGTTGGGATCCTGGGCATATGCTACCATACCTGGTTTACTTGGTGCTAGGGTTGGAATCCAGGGTTTCTTTTTTGTTTTGTTTTGGTTTTTGTTTTTCGAGACAGGGTTTCTTTGTAGCTTTGGAGCCTGTCTTGGAACTCACTCTGTAGAACAAGCTAGCCTCGAACTCACAGCCTCTGTCTCTGCCTCCTGAGTGCTGGGATTAAAGGCGTGCACCAATGCCCAGCAGAATACAGGGTTTCATTCATGGTAGGCACGCACTCTGTCAACTGAGCTACGTCCCAGGCACTAAAGATTAGCCCAGGTTACCCCATGCTTGTGATCTTCATCCTCTTTAGAATTTGCTGACTGGTGCGCATCTCTACAACCACAGGGGTTTTGGCCTGGGCTTTTCTACTTCGGGATTCCAGGATTTTTACCTGTGACTTTTCCCCTTTCCATCAGCCCCAGTCTGTGAAGTTTAAGTGACTTGGTCAAGGTTCTAGAAGGGAGTTGATACCAGACCTGGGCCTAGTTTTCATCTGCCAACTTCTAACCAACATTCTTTTCTGACACATACTAACTGACCTTTGACCCTTAAATTCTATATGCTCAAAGCAGAGGCCACTTTTGCTGTAGGGAAAATCCTGGTAAGGAACTTGGCTTGGCAGGCCATGGACTGAGAGCCCAAGGACTTGGGGATAGTCTGACCTGTGCCTGGCCTGGGTAGACTCTAAGCAGATGTGCTGCAGGAGAGTGCAGAGGAGCCCCCACAAAGATGGCTGTGGCTTAGAGAACAGCAGCCACAGCCCTATGCAAACCCATTTCCTGGAGCTTCTGCTGATCAGCTGGACCAGAGGTGTACAGGACTCAGGCTCATGAAGTCACAGGAGTGGAGTGCCGGGAGGCCCTGCAGCCTTTTTCAGCTGTTCTGAAGTCTCAGTGGGTCAGGTGAACTGGATCAATTCCCCTCTTCAGATCTGAGAATCAAACTTCAGAGGAATAGGCTAAGAACAGAAAACCAAGAGGCTCTTCCCAGAGCTGCGTGGAACTGTGGGCTCAGGCTCCCCAAATTGCCCTGAAATTCTGAGGGGTTTTCTCCCTGTGTTCCTGTTCCTTCTGGAGCGTTTGTTCAGCCCGTCTCTATTGCTTGATGACTGTTGCCGTTGCTTTCGGCAGAAATGACCCTTCTCTCACTCCTGGCGGCAAGTAGAGGATAGAAAGCCTACCCTGCTGAGGGAGACGTGTGCCCAGTGGCTAGGGTGATGGTGCTGGAAACTAAGTATGCCACGTTTTCCTTTTGTTTCTTAAAACAGTTTTTTTGAGGCAGTTTCATGTTACTTCAACTTGGTTTGTAGCATAGAATGACTTTGAGATCTTGACCTTCCTACCTCTGTCTACTAAATACTGGGATGATAGGCTACCCGGCCAAGATTTTACTTTGTTTCTTTTCACATTTTGGAAGCTGAAAGTCCAGTCTTGGGGAACCTGTAGCAACCCCCCCCCATTTTGATCATCTTCATCCCAAAGTTCCCCTCTGCTTTCCCCTGACTGTTCAACATGACCCCTGCCACCTTCATGACCTTTCTGTGTGAATTCACCTGGCAGGCATCGTGGCATTTCAATTCTACATACTTCAGTGTGCCACTCTGCAGTGCCCTCAATGGAGGCCATTGCCACAATCCATTGTCCGTGATACCAGGCTGGCCCCTTGTGCATCTGCTCCTGTGTTACCTATACACTTTGTTGAGCACTTACAGGAAAGGCTGGGTGGGGTAGTGCAAGTCTGCCGTCCCAGCACTTGGGAGGCAGAGATAGGCAGATCTCTTGTGAGTTCAAGGGCAGCCTGGTTCACAAAGTAAGTTCCAAGACAGCCAGAGCTATATAAAGCCTGTCTCAAAAAAACCAGAAAAGAAAAAAGACACTTATACACATTATTTAATGCTAATTTACATGTGTATGTTAAACCTGAGAATTGTAAGGAGAAAAACCAAGTCCATCTGATTAAAGCAAGCTGTATCATGGGTATGGGGACTGGCCAGCCCAGCTGCCCCTCCCTAAATCAGGGTTTTAGAGAGCAGCCCCTGCTGGCCTCTTGAAGCCCCTTTTATAGGAGAGATAAAATGTTTACAGGGGCAAGAATTGGCATTGTTAGAAAGATACAATGAAGCCAGAAGCTGGTCTGGTAGGTACAGTGCCGGCCTTTGATCCCAGCACTCGGGAGGCAGAGGCAGGCGCTCTCTGTGAGTTCCAGGCCAGCCTGATACACAGAGCAAGTTCCAGGGCAGGCTCTAAAGCTACACAGAAAAACAAAAAAGAAAGGTACAATGAAAAGGAAGGAACAAGGGTGAATCCTGTGAATGAAGTTGCAAATTTAGTGTAGATCAAAAAACATGGTTTGCGGCCGGGCGGTGGTGGCACATGCCTTTAATCCCAGCACTCCGGAGGCAGAGGCAGGCGGATCTCTGTGAGTTCAAGGCCAGCCTGGTCTACTAAGCGAGTTCCAGGACAGTCTCCAAAACAATACAGAGAAACCCTGTCTCGAAAAACCAAAAAAAAAAAAAAAAGAAAAAAAAAAAAGAAAAACATGGTTTGCAGTTTACATCAGATCTAAGAAACAGGAACTTATTCCTAATTACAAATAGAAATTTTAACTTGCAAATTTTTTTTTTCCGAGACAGGGTTTCTCTGTGGCTTTGGAGGCTGTCCTGGCACTCGCTCTGTAGACCTTAACTTGCAAATTTTAACACAGGACAAACAGGAACTTATCCTTTATTATAAATAGAAACACCAACCTTAACTTGCAAGGATAAACAAGAATTAATTCTTAATTGTCTTGCCTGCAAGCAGAAGCCTTAACCTGCAAGGTCTATTTTTCCTGTTTTGGTCTCACATTAACTTGCAAGGTGTCTTATTTCTGTTTTGGTCTCACAACTGCTCCATTATAGATGAGGTTTGGGGAGATCAGTGCCTCCCTTGAGGCACGAGTTCAAGCCTGCTCACTGGCCTGCAGACGCTGCATTCTTCTGTGCTGTGACACTGGTGTGGTTTTCTCTCAAACAGCCAGGATTTGCTCCCGCTCCAAATGGGCACATGACAAAGCTTTGAGATGCCACCCCCCCTTTTCCATTCTGGTTTGCGAGGTGGAACTCGTCAGCCATAGGTTCATAGGTAAATCCAGAACCGGTGAAGACAAGGAGTTTGAGCTCTGCTCTGTGCTGAAATCACCTGACGTGTATCCCAGCAGCCAGACTGGTTGTTTTTCTGATAGTATTTCTTTACAAAAGGATTGGGCTATATTGCCAAGGCAGGCCAGGAAATGGTGGAGGGGATCTGACAAGAACAGGGATGCGGTGAAGGGGTCCATGAGTTGTTTTGAGATGAAAGACCTATCCCGGGTCAGCTGGTCTCAAATGCTCATTTAAAACGCCTTGATAAACAGTGCTCAGGCAATCAAAACAAAGTAATTATCTGAGTGATTTAGATACATTTCTCTATGGGCTTGGCTTGGAGGCCCAGGGCATGAGTCTTCCCCAAAGGAATCCAGAAATACAAAGATCAGTCACTACAAATCAAGCCTAACTTCCCTGAAACAAGGCCTCGGAGGAACCTGTTGATTGTGAGTTTGTCTGGGGACCCCAGAAGTTGATTTGGCTAGCAGTAGTTAGGCCAGCCTGGGGAATGCAGAGGCCTACGGTAGTGGGCGTTGCTCCTCCATGCAGGCTGTGGCCCATATGCACATGTAGTGGCTTTTTAAAAAATTTTCAGGGCCGGGCATTGGTGGCACATGCCTTTAATCCCAGCACCTGGGAGGCAGAGGCAGGGGGATCTCTGTGAGTTGGAGGCCAGCCTGGTCTACAAAGTGAGTTCCAGGACAGCCTCCAAAACAATACAGAGAAACCCTGTCTGGAAAAACCAAAATAAAAATAAAAATAAAAAATAAAAAAAAATCAGACAGTATTTCGATATAACGAGTCCACAGGCGGCTTTATGGTGCTTCTAGGACAGGCCCTGCTTGATAGGTAAGCCCGGCTTCCCTAAAACAAAGATCTGCCTGCTCTGCCTCCCAAGTGCTGGCATTAAAGGTGTGGCCACTGTCCCTGGAAAGTCACCCTTTCCACATCATCCTTTCCCAAGGAGTGGTGCTGCATCTTACTTCATTGTCTCATTATTTGTCACACGAGTCCAGGGAGTAAAAGAGCTCTGGAGTAAAAACTGGAGGGGAGAGAATGGAGAGCGCCAACTTGGTGAAACCTGGCTCCCAGTGGGCTTAGAGGGTGTCAGAAATGCATGCATATCACTTCTTGCTGAGACTTTTCTGAAGAGTCTGACACCTCCTGACTCTAAAAGCACGGATTTCTGACACCCTCTAAGCCCACTGGGAGCGCTGGGACAATAAAAGACAAGTGTCTGGACCACGCAGTGGGAGAGGAAAGGAGGACTGGTGTGCTCCCGGGCTCCAGGAAAGGGCGGGTACCGAGAGATGGGCGGTCCGGTGGGTGGGATTTTGTTTCCTACTAGCCTGAGGGGCGGGGCTCAGGGTCTCCATGGAGACGGCTTCTAAGCCGTAGGACTAGCGTGGAGAAGACCGGCTGCCCAGATGGATGCCGACAGCCTCTTGTTGTCGCTGGAGCTGGCGTCTGGCAGCGGGCAGGGCCTCAGCCCGGACCGTCGAGCCTCCCTGCTCACGTCCCTTATGCTGGTGAAGCGTGATTACCGTTTTGCTCGGGTCCTTTTCTGGGGCCGCATCCTCGGCCTCGTTGCAGATTACTACATCGCACAGGGCCTGAGTGAGGACCAACTGGCACCACGCAAGACGCTGTACAGGTGAGGCGACCGTGTGGCAGGCGAGGCTGCAGGAGAACACCGTAGGGTCGTAGGTGCCCTAC